TGCTTTCTGGCTTTTTGAACCCAATCCGACTTGGAAAATACATGTACAGCTAAAAGACCGGCGGAGTGACACTCTTTCTTATTTTTTTTCTCCTGTCAGTGATTTATATTAAAGAAAGTAAGAAGCAATTTATGGAAATCCAGCAGCTTAAGTCTGAAATTTGCAGATTGACCTAACGCTTCAGAAAATTGGTTCCTTAATATCTTCCAAGCTTTCTTTAGCAAGCAGTAAGCCCAGCGGTGTACTTCACAACGAATGTGAAGTGGAACTCGCAAAATATATTGCCACGGGTAAAGTACTGCTAGCGCCCGATCATGTTCAATTTCAGCTCTTTTTCATTCAACAGTTGTTGCAGTCAGAGCATACTCGATCCATCCGACCACAGTCTGGAGCGGGAAACAAAATTCAGAACGATGAACTGGTAAGCTCGCTCAAACTGCCAGCCGTTATTTTCACATTTTTAAAAAGCCCTAAATGATGGATCGTTACCAACCTCAAATTCATTTTCCACAGAAGCAGTGTCGTTGACAACATTGCCATTCTCAACAAGTCGTTTCAATTTCCAGTTTCGACGCCGCTGTCGCATTGTTCGATCGTAAATTTTCCGAACTAAGATCACATCCGGCACTTCATCGGGCTTCATTTCATCCAACAGCGCACTATTTGCATTGATATTGCGAACGTGATAACCTGCGATTGTGAAGGACATTATTTTGGCAGCAGGCCAGAAGGGAAAAATAGGATAGTAATTGGGGGAAATACAAAAGTACGCGGCGGATTACTGAGACCAGAAAATGTTAAATAAATACCAGCAATGAAGCATGTAGGAGAGGAATTATTTCAGTGCTTTTATGAAATTTTGGCGAATGCGGCGAGTTCAGAAATAGGGAGAATGTAATGTATGTCTAACTTACAGAAATTGTGAGGAACAAAGCATGGACTGCTAGCTTAAAACAAAAAAAAAAATAATTTAGAATGAAATAGTTTTTAAGACTTACGAATGAATAAGCTCTAAAAATGATTTACCAGAAAAATGCGCAAAGCAAAAGCATCATTCTTACCCAATACAAGATCTCCAGGTTTTAGCACGTGTCCAAGATGCGATCGTGTACAAATTTGCTGGTCATCGTGGCCAACCTATAAATCCTAATTAAAAACTTCAAAACAGTAAAACTTCCTTTAAAACAATAAAAATTCTTCACAATAATAAAAGTTAAAGAGGAAAATAAACTCTACCAAGCTTTGGATGTTTATAAAACAGCAACTTTACACTGCCTTGAAAGTCGTCTTTTCAACTACGTCTCGGTACAAGTTCTGCTCCCCTCCTATCCCTCCCGTCGTCTCCCTCATCCTCACCTTGCTCCTTGCATCCCCGCGGTTATGACACGCGCTAGATCACGTTTGATGAATAAGAGAAAGCAAACAGTGATGCAACCAGCCACAAAACGAAGCAATGGTGGCCATCGGAGCAATCTTCTGCGAAATATAACATTCTCAGCCAACGAAAGGACGTCAAAGACGCAACATCTCTAAAACAGTGGCTGGCTGGATGAGCTACGGGGCAGTGAAACAGAGCACTGGCCAACTGATGTTAAATGAAGGTAGACAAGGTCGCTAATGAGACGGAGGTTAAACGACTGTACGGAATTATGCGAACGAGCTGGACAATATGCAAAAATATTGCAAAACACAGTTGTTCTAAGCAAAAGCAAAATAAAGAAGACCAAAAGCCGTAGTACGAAGGAATGATCTACCTGGTCGCTAGGAACCACCCATACATCGACTAAACGATGCTTCGTTGATATGCGGCCATGCCCGGATGCTCGCTTCAAATTACCCACATCCTCAACATCAAGAACGTAAAACTCCACCAACTGCTTTGATTGGAAAACAGCGTGAAACGGATCACGATAATACTGCGTCCTGAAAACCGTTAATGTTAAGAACTGTCAAATGAAATTTACAGAATGAATTTTCATGGCATCGGCAGGAAAGGGCATGAGGACTAAACCGTTGAATCCCAACTACAGTTACGGAATGTCAAAGGCTTTTCCCAGAAATTCAGCTGTTTAGACTGTGGAGAAGCTGGAAATGCGTCACAAGCGCATACATACATACATACATACATACATACATACATGCATACATACATACACACATACATAAATACATTATACATACATACATACATACGTACATACATACACAATCACACTGATTCTCGCCAATATACATTTTAGTATTTATTCGAATAAGTGAAACGCATAAAGATTAAATTGGGGTTTCGAGCAAACATGAAAGAAGCTCAGATTAAACGCTGAAGCAGGGAAATGCACAAGCTGTGCGTTTACATGTTAATAGGTGTGAACTACGGACATCAATCTGGCTGCAATCTGCATATGGCATAAATTTTATGGCAGAATTTTTTTTTGAGCAAAGTTGGAAAAAATGAAAAAGAAAATCACAGACTCTCGTAGAGCGACTTAAGAAAAATTTAACAAACAAAATTCAACTTCTTCAACAACGCCACAAAAAAAAATTGCGAAAACGTACGAATTTACGTCAGCAATTTGCAGTGTTGCAGGATCGATCAAAGTGACAACGTTGTTGACACGCACGCAAACAAGCAGTTGATTCATATTACCCAGCGATTGTGCAGTTCTTTTGGGCAAGCAAACCACGCAATCGCGACAAATTGGTACTACCTCCACACAGAATGTATGCTTGTAGTCGTACGTATTGTTTTTTGTGTCGTGCGTTACCAGTTCCTGCAATCTTTCAACAGTTTTTTCAGGAATATTATAGTACAAACCTGTTTCGCCATAAAATACTAAAATGATATAATAGTATATACCACTCTCTACATCTGTGGGGCCTGCGGGCAAGCGTGCTACCTACGCACGGGCCCTTGAAAATTTCTCCCGGACAAGTTGCTAACTCGGGAAAGTGAGAAGCTAGAAGACTGGGATTTTGAAGGGATGTTTCCTGACAG